AGAATGATCTTGTCATTTTTTATTGTAAGAAATACTGGCCAATTGAAAACCAGCGTTAGACTTTCAGTTTGCAAGCTGAATTTTTACGTAATAATCGCATCTATATAGAATCTCACCGACTTGTATTGTATCATTGTACTATCTACTTAAAATAATTCAATGTGAATAATTATTGCCTGTAGTATTCTCCATCTTCAGCTGGTTCGTGGAGGTCTTTCCTGTCTTCCCCTGCATGTGTGGCGGCGCGGACGAGCTTTGTAATGCATGTGCGTAAGCTGATGCGTCGTGTCCAAGTCCTCGCGTTGATCAGTGCCCACGAAAATGCCTCGGGACACTACAACATTTTTATAAAATTTAATTTGAAAATTCAAAAAGCAATGTAAGAGCAACGATGCAAACCAACAAGCAAATCTTTCCTCTTTAGATAATAGCGATGTCCACAAACAGACAGACCGCTTTTACACAAAAAAATTATTATTAATCACATTAGAATTACATAAGTAGTTACTTTATTTATATTTCTTATTCTTTTGTTTTTGTAGAAAAATGGTCCGCTAAATGAAGTAATGCTTACTCACTAAAACATTACAGTGTACCCTCACCTTTGGGGGATGAGACCCGGAAAATGCGTCTACCACAGTCGCAGTTTTAGAGATTCATCAAATAAAAAGGTTTATTAGGTACCCTTAAAGTAGGTTTTATATAATGCTGCGAGCACCTGTGTTCGAAATTGGGAACCTCTATTACATAAACGAAATCCTGTAATGAAGAGGAGGGTTTTGCCTAAGTTTGGAATCAATAAAAAAAGACGATTGCAAAGCATGATTTAGGGAGTTTTTACATGACATCAATATTAATCAGACTATGAGTTTTTATTTATTGGTAGGTATATTCACAAAGTTTATACACAGAATAGTAATGTCGTTTTTCAAATGTGATGGAATTTATAGATCGAGTCGTACTACGAAATTTATATTTACACTAATTAAACAATGAAAACAATGATACAGTAATTGCATTTTCACATATTATTTTTCATAGCATGTTGCCTATCTATTAAGTTATGTTATAATAATCTATGATAGGTATGTGAGAAACAAGCTTCAATAAAATGATGAGCACGATATGAGTAGGCAGGTGGATTAAATATATTTTTTAATATACAAAGCACTTCTAAAATGGTTATCGATTATAGTATATTTAATACTAAAATAAATTTTAGGCTAATAGTTTAAGACGTACAAAAACTTTAATTTTTTTATTACAGTATTAAATAGTACAGATACTATTTGATCATGATCAATGCTACCTACTTTGTTCTTATAATACAATGAAAGGGATTTTAAAATAAGATTTTATTGAAATTAGATTTATAAAAGAATAATAGTTTTAATAATATTTTTTTTGGTTTTTTACTTAGACTTAGTTAGTTTGGTTATTTAGAAATCATTAATTGTAACTTTTTACATTTTAAAAGATTATGTTTAAAATGAAATCTATAAAAGATTTATTACAACTAGGACATTTTGGAAACCTAAAACTTGTCATTTATTTTGATGCTAACATAATTCGTTACTTACTCTAATAAATAAATTTGGAATTAAATATTCTTGGGTTTTGCCGTATGTAAAAAAGTCAAGTGGAGTATTAGCTCTCTCTGTCTCTTGCAGATCACTCAATGGTTGGCACAGTAAGATCTAACAACTCCTGAGGCTACTCCATGGAGGAGTGAAACACATGTAGAGCAGTGATTGGCGAGTCTTGTTGTTGTTTGTACATGTGAATTTGTGTACGGCGGTGGAAGTTACTAGATGTCATAGTTTTACGGTTATGGCAATGAATATACATCCATAACCCACAAGAGAACGTCTACTTCTATTAAATACTGATATTTAGCACTCAGGTTGTTGACATTCAATAAATAATTCCTAACTTTGTTTACAGGATTAATAATCAAGTCTGCATTCCGATATACGATAACTTCGATAATTCTTAGAGTTCGTCTGACATTATTGAAGCACCATATCGTCTCGTTTTCATTATTGAATTTTGAGTAGACCAAGAGTCAAGGACCTTCATTATATGTCACAAATAGCTGACATTACTCATAGAGTTTATGTAGGAATATTCTAATATCAATCAAGATGTAATGTCTGAATTCGTCTTTCCATATATGTAAATAACATCTAAGAGAATCCTGAATACATTTGACCAGTTTAAAAACATTCATTGATTTTGAACTGGTCAAATGTATGTATTTTACATGTAAGAATTTGATAAAATTGCAAGCAATCTAGTTTAGAATTTAATTTTATAATCTTTGTAGGTAATATTTTAGTATGTTCTACGATATTTAGTGCAACTATGTGAATTGCAACGATGGTATTATTGTTTGTCATGTATACATATTATGGTATGTAGAAATATGACATAAATGTGTGACGTTAATAGGTCGCGAGACAGCATCGAAAAGTGGATATCTATAGGAATAGAAAGGACTTCTATATTGCGGCCAGAAGTTAACATGTAGTACTTAGTTCACATCAGTTTTAACAATTATCGGCATTCTTCAGTTCATCAACACTGTGATTATAATAGATTATGTATACCGTGCCCGATCTAAGGATCGACCAACCGGTCAAATGCCCAGAGTTGCAAAATTAAGGGCGGCAATACTGAATGCGCCAGACGGTCAGATGAAATCTTCAATTTTCTTTCTCCTAAAATTACCATGTTTACGGAAGTTTAGTCGGAATAATAAAAATTATTTTATATGTGTTGACTTTATCGCATGCAGATAGATATATAATTCCGGCAAACTACTAGCTTTCTAATTGCTACCTGAAGTATTCATAGAAGCAATTTCGACCTGTTAAAATCTGAACTCGAATTCGAATTCACTCAGGCGTCTCAGGTTGAAGTGAATTGTCACTTCAAAAACTACATCCGGTTAATCTTGAATTGGTACCTATTAACGTTTCGTGTCATAATTGAAGTTACTTTCGAAATGACATAGGAATAGAAATATCTGATAAACGTATGAATCAATCAATCTTGTTTGTATTTTTATCAAAAAATTAAATCATTAGGTTTTTTACACTAATATAAGTTTTCAAAGTCAATTCGAATTCGGGTTCGGATTTTTACGGAATCGCTCTGCTGATCACCATTTTCTCGATTGTACACACAACGGCACGTTTGGTGAATTGTAAGAAAAGGATTGCTGCAATTAATTTTAAAACTTAATCATCAAGAGATTAATGCTTACTATGATACGCAAATTTCTATGAGTTAGGGAAATTTGACTTTTTGTAATATTTACTCCAGTTCAGTTGAACATCTAGTATATAACTAGCTATGATAAGTGTATTAATTTAATTTGTTTCATATCGTAACATGACTGTGGTACGATATTATATTAATACATTATGTGGTGAAGAAACTTAAGGGTTTTTTCATAAGGGTTGCAATTATACACACTCACATTTATATGTGCGAAAACGTAAATCATTTGGTTGTAAATATTAAATTAAAATAATTCTTCTCCATTCTGTGCTAAAATCGATTTTGGATAGCTCAGATTTCTTTTTAAATTGATTTCAGATTTTAAAATTATTATTATCTTAATATTATATGTCTTTTTTCTCAAGAGAATTCATTCAAATAAACATTACTTTATTAAGCGTTACATTTAGACCTTCTTGATATGTAAGTTAGTAGATACTTAAACTGTTTCATAGTCAATTTGCATGTAGTAAATGAAAATCAAAGTATATTTGTATCTCAATTTTATTGAATACGAAAGTGTATCTTATATCGTAATAAAAATTGCTTATATCTAATTGATTTAATATTTAAACTATGTGGTATACAGCATATCGTCTAAGTAGTAGATTATATTCAACAACAAGTTAATATGAACGAACAGTCCATTTAAGTATATCAAATTCGAAATGTCGTAGGTGATAGATTTCAATTGTTCACTGTTAGAGCCTGTGCATATCTGGTGAAAGATACGTCGCGGTATTTCTGATCCCATAAATTATATGGTTGACATTTCACCTCGAGCGTTTTAATGAATACCTTACGTGTATTAACGCATAATTCCATGAGACGCTTGAGGGATTTTTCGTCAGATTTGCACCGACATTTACAAGCTAAAATGTGATGTAACTATGGTGTTTAACACATAAATTCCATGCAGCATAGAATCTTAATTGGTTAGTTAAATCACACGCTCTTATATCGAATGTATACATTATGTATAACTATATCTACTTAGTTTTAAATTTTGGAAAGGCACTATACTTGAATTATATAAACTTTTAATCCTTTTACTAAGGTGCCAGAAATATGAATCCTAATGAATTAATAAAATGTTAAACGAGTAATAACTAGGTATACAGAATTTTGGCAAAACTTGAACTTGAAAATATACCTGAATAATTATTAGTAGTTACAAATTAGTAGCGAATAATTATTTTTAGTGACAAATTATTAGTGAATAATTATTAGTAGTGACAAATTTTGGAAAACATCTTAAAACATGATTGATTTATGTTCTATTCTATTTTTCAAAGCAGAGATTGCTTATAAAACACCTTTGTCAAAATACGTAACTGTGACCGAAAACAAGTGACTTAATAAAATATGATTCAAATAAATAGAGACTAGACTTAAGTCTAGGGTACCCGATTTACATAATCATATCATACTTTTTATATCGAAACGATTTGAACAGTCTTTTAAATTGTCTCTTAAAGTAACCTAAACGATTCACAGCACAGCATGCGGCGTGGGCATACCACTAGAACACTAAGACGGTCCCACTGTCCTCAACCTTGGTCCTTCACGAAAACAATTTTACTTCATTGTATACTTATAGTGTTCAGTAATTATCTACTGATATGATGAGACCATTTTTTTCTAGCGCATTTTACACTACTCGTTTTCTTAACCAGTCTTATACTCCGCCCGTGTCAGGTATTACAATAAACACATTATCGGTTAAGTCCCAACGATGAACAGTACACTGTGTGACGTGGTACTCTTTGTGTCGGCAGACCTGAGAGGCCTCGAACGTATGTGTACGTGACGGGTTGTCGAAGGATGCGCTTCGGCTGTTGCTGCTTCTTTTTTTGGTGGTGGCGCTCAGATGATGAGCATGATTGAGATCTTGATGTCAAGTTCAAGCTTTCGAACATACGACGTAAGGAGACAGTTGAACGATGCCTGCGTTGTCTCTTAGAGCCATCGCTTCCGGAATCACTAGGAGAATACGATAACCGGTCGTCGGTTTTGCCTTGTTCACAAGATACACTGTCACTGCTGCTTGAGCTGCCAAGGTACTCAACGTCAGCGCCCCGATGGGAAAGATGTCGGCTTAACGCTTTCAGCAAGCGGCCACCGCGGGGAGTTGATACTTGCTCAGGCATTTCTTCCACTGGTGGACACACTACTATCTTCGGAGTAACAAACTCACGTCAAGAGCAGGATTTCTGACTGCGCTCTTCGTTCACGACGTTCACTGGAAAGTCGCCTACAAACTTTTCTGTCGTCTCAAACTTGATTCCCAATTTGTGTTTCATAAGTTCGCTTAAAAAAACACTTTCAACTTTTAAATATTGGGTTTCGCTTTCGGATATAATTATGTTTATAACGCTAAACTTTTTTTCTAAGAAACGAGTAGAGTGTATCTAACTACTTAGCAGAGAGGAGAAATCGCTTCACGGAGGCGTGTCGCGATATGATGGCGGGCTGGCATCTGCTCGGTATATAAGGGATGTTAGGCGCATGCGTAGTGGTTTGTTGGGTTATTCGTTCACAACGCACTTTGGATGTTTTGTGATCACAACAAGTACATAATTGCATTCACGACGTGATTAGTTGCACTTTAAGAAATTGTTGTAATCCTTTAGTCAAATTCACTTATTTTACATTGCATAAAGATTAACAATAGCAATCTTATTAATAACTTATTTAAGTATCAGCCTCTTTAATTTTTTAAATTGCTGAATAAAGTATAACAAATAGCGCCAAAGTAGTCTTAATAACAGTTGACCGAAGATAAGTAGGTAATTCTTAGACTTTGATTATAAGTTGCTTTGTGTTCTGAAAGTATTTCTATAATTATTCAATTCATAACAATATCATATGGATATGTTATAAGAATAAACACACTTTCTATCTGAATCAAGGGAAGCCCAAAAACGGTTATGATTTTTATCTGACCATTATGAGTATAATTTTAATCTGTTAGTTTTTGTAAACTCAAATTAAATTAATTTACTCAGTCTAGCTATGACAATCATTTCTGAATATCAAAATATTATGCCATTGGTTAACAAAACTGCGACAAGACCTTGTAAAGAAACTCAACATAGGTGGCTTCGTTCTCTTTTCGTAACTTTGTACGGTTCTACATAGTTCTATTTTCGTATATTATCAAATAAACCAAAACAATGATATTAGTAACACATACCTTAGAGCTTATAGGAAGGATTTTTGAAGGGAAATAAGAGATTCAGTTCTATGAATGCTTAGAAAAAGCTCTACGTAGGCATATGGGCTTAGATTTTATTGCTAATTTTATTGTCTCATGACTAGTCTATAAAAATTTAAGTTTATTTGTGTATTTTTAAGTTTATTTATATGCTGAGTATTTTTAATGTTAAAAATAGTCCGTCCATAGGATACTACTGTCCAAAGGTACATTTGTTCTTGTCTGTAGGACATTCAATGTTTGTACCTATGGAGAAAACATGACTATAAATATTAAATTTTTATCAAAAACTATTATATTTTTCCTGGCTAGGACTGCGTAATATTTAACCCATAAAGGGTTTATTTGTAATTAAAAAGAATATTACGATAATGTGCACTTAAAATAAAGAGTCTTGGCGAAAATAATATTTTTTTCTTAATCCTGAAAAAGTCCACAGGTAAAGCACATAACCCTACATAAAATGCAAATCAACGCACAGCCGACTTGGGGGGTATATTATTTGTATGTCGTAGGCAACCGATAAGTATTTTTCGAAATTGGGTAAAATTTTAAAAAACGTGGCAAAATTTGTATGGGACTACATGATTCCTTGGTCCAATCTATTTTAATGTTGTACATTACTTTAACAGAATTGATGGAAGAGTGTTTTACGTTTTATTGTAACTCACCGCCCAACGGGGTTAGTAACCGAGATTTTTTAAACTAATTCTTATTAACGTTATAAAGGCGAAAGTTTGTAGTCTGTTCAATCAATATTGCGGTTCTGAGCGTCAAAAACATTGGAAGACGTAACACCTCAATACCGCGTTTTCCAGATGTTGTTCAACCCTTAGAACGACATACTCCTGGTTTCTGAATTAAAGACTTAAATTTAAGAACATCTGAAACTGTACTAAAACGTCACTTAAACAAGTTTTCGTTTCTGATTTTAGTTTTTGTAATGGTCCTGCCCCTTTGTTCTCGACCGCCATCGCGACCGATCGACATTGCAATAGATGACTAATTTTTGTTTGTTTGTCCGTCAGGTAGAGTGTTAAAAAATATTAAACACGTAATTTTTAAATTTTTCGTAATCATAAAATTACGGCGTTACATTGAGTTGAAATTTCGCATGACGTCACGTTAGAGTACGTTTTCTACTCAACTGTGACGTAGCGAGCCCCCACTCCTCAACTTTAATGCCTGTTATCTAAGCTATTTCTTGTTAAATTGAAGTAAAAAAAATACGTATCTAATATTTTTCTATTATCTGACTGACGGACTAAATAGAATTGCATTTTTTTACCCAGTCATCATCCCTATTGTGCTGCTTCGCACTCTTGATTGGTTCACTAGGATACTCTGGGCCGAGAGTAAGCGGGAACGTAAAAATTTAAGTTATTCAGAATAATCTGTTGGGATTTTATAATTATCTCAATTCAGAAACCGGCCTTAGATCACTCAGTGTGATTGCAACTATTAATGTCATTCCCTATTCTCAATAAGCGCACGTCTTATTAAGTTTATAAATACATAATATTAATTTATCAATGTAAAAGGAGATACCAATAATAATAGTTTCCTAGCTTCCATTTAATTAAATTGCATACTAACAATAGAATGAAGTGAATGAATGAACTGATTCAATGAAACTTATATATAAACGAAGTAATAGAGCCCGCTTTTCTTCTTCATCAATGTAATATTTATAGGTCTTTTAATATACACATATCAGCGTATCAGTTAAGCTGTTCTGTTTTACCTAAATTACCTGTAACTTAATGGCGTATGTTTGATCGAACCTCTTTATTATTACATTGCTTCGGTCGACGTCGAGTTTGAGGTTATTGTAATATCCGCAATTTTGAATTGGACTCTTCTTTTTACTTATTTATGGGATTATATTCATTTATGGGATTAAATAATAACTCAAACGTAATCATTTAAATAAATAGATACATAGCAGACTTACCGTAGTTGATACAAGTTATTTTTTGTGATTTTTCTTATTGCATGTTTTTTATGGTTTTCTTCGGGATAGTAGTAGTTTGAGTAGTACATATATCTCGTTCAGTAGAATTGATAACCTCCTTCTTCTTTAAAAAACCATCACTTTTCTGTATTTTTTTTCTGGGCTCTAATAATCACGGACACATAAAAACTATGTAGCAATTTAGGTTAGCTAATCATTGGTGCATTGGGAAATTAAGACCCATCGATAGACTAAGTCAATTCCATTAGCGAAAAGACCGAACATTTCATTATATGTTCGGTATTTTTTTATTTGAGTATATGATTTTTTAACTAAACTTTTAAGTGCTTATTTTGTTTTATTAGGTATGGGATGTGTTTTGAACAATAGGTTTTTATTTTTTTATATCATTTAATAAACGAATTAAGTTTATTTAATTTCTAAAAATACCTTTTCTGTTTTGGTTTCTTACACCATTTTTTTCAAAATTGAATCACTTTACCTGAAATATAAGATGGAGCAAAGTTCCCTTTTAACGATATTGCAGTATTTATTATTCAAACAATCGAATTACTTGTGCGGGTTTCTCTATGTTACTTAACGTAACAGAATTGTGGTTAACTAACGTATAGAAATTCAATTATTAACATGATAATAAAATAAGACTTAAATACTTAAAAAGCGGATAATATTACTTGTGTGCAAGACTGTATTATATTAGGTCGGGCGATTAACATTAACAAATCAACACAAAAAAATATGCATTAGCGTTTCAGAAGGGCAATTCTGTATAATTTTGGAAATTCGAGGGGATAAAAAAGTTGGAAATTCTGAAAATTCATCTACTAAGGAGCTTAAAAGCGAATAGAAAATTGGCATGGAAACATAGCTCGGTGGTGGATAAGCGCCGCGGCCCGCGATCGTAGTCGTTAAGCAACTTTCGCAAGGGTCGGTCACGGGATGGGTGAACAAAAAATTATTATCTCGAGCTACTCCCTGCTTCAGAAGGCACGTTAAGCCGTTGGTCCCGGCTGCATTTGCAGTCGTTAATACCCTCCAATCCGCATCCTCCTTAACCATCCATAAGGAAGGCCTGAGCCCCTGCAGTGGGGACGTAAAAGGGCTGGTGGTGAGTGTTTGAGGAATTTCTACCCGAGGCGATGAAAGTTAGTTAGTATAGACCTTTTTTTTTAGAAGGGCAGGTTGGTGTAGAAGGCCTACTTAACAAAACCCGCTGCGGTTCACCTCGCACGGATCCAAGGAGGGCCCGGTTTCTTCCGCCGCGTTGGGACTTGTCTCGGGTGGGAGAGGAACAATATATATTATAATTATATTGTGGTAACAATAATATAATAATTAAATACATATTGTTATGAACATGTTCTTTATCTTCCTTATTAGTTATAAATAAAAAAATATATATATTACTTTATTTGTGGTTTTCGCATATGATCTTTCCCCTAGTCGATTTTTTGATCTAGACATTCAAGAACTAAATAATGTTTTTCAAAAATTAGAACCGATCCCAAATTATTAAAAAGTAAGAAATAATTCCTTAAATACTGTTTGTTCGTTGAAAAAACTGCTACTGAAATTGAGGGGAGATTTTCTTTAGGTTATTCAATTATAAGCAATAAACAATTCACTTGATAAGATAAGGTTAGTGTTAACTTAAATTTTTAACCGATGTTTCAGAATTCGAATCTGGGAACTCATAGGAGACTCACGTTAATAGTAATACAATTGACCAACTACAAAAATCTATTCATACTTCCTATTCTGATGATCCACGTAGTTAATAAAGCATTGCTGGATAGTTATAAATAGCAGTCTATAATTGTATTCAAATGCTATTAAGCGGATTATTTTGCCGATTTTCGCTTGCATCGTGCAGCTTATTTTAAGCCTCCTGCTATTTATGTAAAACAGATCTGTATGTATGTTGACTGAATCTGTTGCATTAGAGGAGATTTAACAAA